GATAAAATGTGTAAATGGTTGTCTCTAAGATGAATAAATGAATAGTTGTGAATAGGATAGATATAGATGAATAATTTTCAACTTATTACTTTTCTCTTCTTTGTTCCTCTTATTAACGTGGAATGAGTTGAAATAATTATTTTACATGTTTAACTCAACTGGTAAATTTTGAGAGAAATATGCTTTTTCTTTAAATTTTTTCCCCTAAAACTACAACCATTTGTAGCCAAAAAATAATTAGTGGTGGGCTCATTACGTTTCAGAAGAATTTTTTTTTTCTACCAATCAGATCCAATTACGTGAGAAAACGGTCAATTCATACCTCAATACACGGTAGTTGTTAGAGCATCTTCAATATATTATTTTAATAATTTTGATTTTCTTTTAAATTTAAATTATTAAAAACATTTTAAATCAATCACATATAAATAAGTGTTATATGAGTTTGTACAAAAATGACAAGAGTTTCTTCCTTAAGAACTCCTCTTTATTTTCTCTCATATTTTTAAGTTATTTTCTCCATTGGTGTATTTATAATAGGGTACTTAATTTTGTAAACAATAAAAATAATAATATAAAAATAGATGGATATCTCAAATAATTGAGAAACCCACCTAAAAGTATCTCAAATGAAATATTTAAAAAAAAATTAGGTGAATTTCTCAATTATTTGAGATACCCATCTATTTTTATATTAGTATTTTTTTTTGTAAAATTAAAAATTTCATTAGAAATATACCATGGAAGTAATCTTAGATAGATCTCACGCTCCCAAAAAAACGCAGCTGAGAGGGAGAAAAAAAAAGCGATCTGGTTGTGAGCCCGGCCGATGGCCGGAGTCTCGTTCAGCTCCATCGTCGGCCGGGTCGGGTCCTTTAGATATGTTCGTAGGTTGTTTCTTCAGTTTTGGTGATAAGTTCCTTTGGGTCTTGGGAGGGAGATCTCAAGTTCTGGCTTGGTGATGGTGAGGTTCAGACGTGTCTTCTTAGGCGGTGGAGCAACTGCTTCCCGGGTGGAGTAGAGGTATGAAGCTCTCGGATATTGGTTTCTATGTCCATAGTTTGTAGTTAGACGCTTTAGCTTGGCTTTGGTCACTTGGTATCGAATTGGTTCGGTAGTAGGTGATTTTAGTCATGTTTCCGATAGCCTTGTTTGATTGGGACTGTGGAGGAGACTTTTTCTAGCCGTCAGTGGTCTTTGAGGTTTCTTTCCCTCGGCACAAAACTTTGTTAAGTTGCTTCGATGTTTGACTACGGTTTGTCTCTATTGTCCTGGATTTTTGGTCTAAGCTCTAGGTCATATCCGGATGGTTGATGAGTCTATGCCTTTGTTTGTATCCGGTACCTGCTTGAGGTGGTCTTTGGGCGCTGCTTGACTAGGGATGACTCTTTCTTGATGAAGAAGATGGTCTCGATGATGTTTTTCTCGCCTTGCTGTTTAGTATCTTTTATATTCGATGTGAATAGTTTTTTCTATTGGCTTTATGCATACCAACACCTTGCCTTCGTGTACTGGGTTGTGTATCAATATGAAGAATCTTGGATGTTTGAGATCTACTTTTGCTCGGGATTGGTCTCTTCTTCTTGGTTATTCTTTGGCTTTTGTCACTCTTAGTTTGGTTCTACCTTAGTCTCGGGATATGATGACTTTGTCTCGAGTGTGCGTGCGGCTCCTTCTGACCTTTATCGACGTTGTGATTCGAAACAATGGTTCTACGTTTGAGAAATTCAATGGAAAGAAGACTCTTAGCTTTGTTGGTGTTCGAGTTGGTTGTTTTAGATTTTAATCTTGACTTTAGTTTGATGTTTCCGTAGTTACGCGTTGGTTTTATGGTTTAGGATTCGTTTTTTCGTCTGAGGATCTCGGTATAGATTCTCTTTAGCATTTTATCTTCGTATTCTATCTTTGTAATTCAAAAATGTATTCCAACACCGGAGAGGTGGTTAATATAATGTTTTAGATGAAAAAAAAAGTAGTCTTAGATATTTGTCAGAAAAATAACCAAAGTGAAAAATCTATAGAATCAAGTGACGTCATAAATGACACTATGGATTCGTAGCCTGTAGGTGTTAAAGGGCTTAGACTGCGCCAAGTGTCAACGCAACACAAATTAAATTGTCAAATCAATGAATCGACATTTGCACTCAGTGGGTTGGTGTAGTGGTCACTTTTCTCTTCTCCACTTCACATCCTTTTATTTATGCCCACAAGATACTTTTGTATATAAGTTCAAAATGAATTGTTATTTATTAGGGAGTGAATTTCGAAAATTAGCTTCATGAGAACAAAAGTATCCCCACTAACACTAATAATAAACAAATCTAACGTTTTTGTTATCATTCTTAATTATCATATTTCTAATTTTCAACCTAAAAAAACACAAGAATCCGAACAAAAAAAAAACAGGTGAATACAATACAGTATATGTAAAGTTTAAAATCCATACAAGAATTGGATTTACCAACAAAAAGAAGAAGTGAAATTGATTTTAAGAAAAACAAAGTTGAATTCTAGCGTACAGAGATAATGATGTTGACATTTGAGATACATGTTCGTTGCATGACACAGAGTCACATAGAAACGATCTATTGTTCTCACGATTTAGAGGAAAATATTGGAGTGAACAATGTAATTGTGATCCGGTTTGTTCCGGTTAGCTATAAATTGGTTATGTGTTTGTACTAAACTAAGGTTAATATAAATATTATGTATCGCTCTTATCTTTAATAACAAAAATATCGATATTTTCCAAATCCTCTCACGAGAGAGAGATTTCGATCTCGCTTCTCAATAGAGAGATTTAGTTTCTGTTCTAATGTAATCTCTAATATGGTATCAGAGCATTGAACTCCATCAAAAGCTCATCGATCCTTTCCGTTTTTCTTTTCTCGTTTATTGATCTAGATTCGTCGGAATTTTTTCTGATTGATCCTCTTTTCACCGGTTATTCCGCCGGATTTGAGCTCCGATTTGATTATTCCGTCAAATCTCTACTTCACCAGTTCCGATTTGATCATTCCGTCAAATCTCAACTTCGATAGAATTCGACTCGTCGTGTGGTTCGTCTCAATTCGTCTTCTTCGAAATCCAAAAAAAAAATCCGAAGGATTCTGAGTTTATGCCATCGCCTCGAGTTGCATCGGAGAAGATTCAACAGATTTCGGTGCTGGAGAACAT